CAAGATATTATTTTAACTAAATTTATTAACTGAATTAAATTATATTTTTACTCAAAATTATTGAAAATTGAAAACAAGGAACTCTAGTGATAGGATTTAAGTTGGACTAAATAAGTCAAAAATTGAAAATTTACATTTGATAGAAAGATGAAAGAAGATTCGATTAAAATCATATTTTGATTTATTTTTCAATTTTTATTTATTCGTTAGCACGAAGAATAGAAAGAATTACGCCAAATGTGTTCATTGCAAGATTTTTATTACAAATAAACGATCGCAAATAAACTTTGATTTACGCATACGAAATTCGAATATTTATAAAATTCTATTTTATTACTGAAACATTTAGAATAGAGAAAATAAAAGAAAAATGACAACAAAATAACTTTGATAACCAATTATTAACTCCAGTAACAATAAATTGGATACGAACTCATATTTCAAAACAAGCTAATATTCTACAAAGTACAACCAATTTAATTATTATGTAAAAAGGAGTTTCAAATTTTTATTGTATTTAAGTATTTTAATTAAGTATTAATATTTAAGTATTTAATTCTCGCAATACTTTTCTCACTTTATTTTATATATGACACATGAAATCACTTTCATACATGTGAATATATTAAATTTATAATAAAATTTGACATAGTTACAGTTAAAAAATGTATATATATATTTTTTTTGAGTAATAAACGCAGAGGCAAAGAGGCTGAAAAAGAAATCCTATCACAGTAAGCAGAAAATCTAAAACAATAGTCAGTAGGGCCACTGAAAAAGGAATCGCGATACAGTAATCAGAAGAGCTAAAAGAATATTTCCTCCTCAATACAATAACCAGAAGGATTTATGTCAAATCTAGATTCGACATAACTCCAAGCAACAAACTGTATCTTGTTTCGCAACACTAGCGATTAATTGTGAAACAGGAAATTTTCAAAATCAAACGCGAAAAGTGCTTCGTAATATTTAAAACTCTTGAAAGTAAGTATGCGACGCTATTAATCTATTCACTCATACTTAGAAATATGCAACACTAATTGCGCCCAATGCAAACATGCTGGAGGTTGCTGATGAATGACCAACTTTGTACAACTCTTGTAGCTGCATCAGGTGATCCAGGAGCAGGAAGAATTTGGGCATTTCGTAAACGCAAAACTACTTCAAAAAAGAAACACGATCATTCATTGGCGCAAAAGTAAATGTAAAAGTGATTAAACATCGAGATGAAATAATGTCGCAAACTCAAATTGAAAATTATCAACAATACGAAAGCTACTGTATAAAAAAAAAAAAAATTATTTTTAATATTCTAACATTCTAAAATTAATTAAAAGCAATGATTCTATAATATAATTTTAAACAACAGAAAGATAAATTTACATAACACTAAGAACTATGAACATTAATAATCAAAATTGCAAAAAAAAAATCGTGGTATCATAATTCGCGACTCTAAAGCAAACACAATTATCATTTCTTTGCAACTTTAATTCAAATCATAATCAATCTCGCAACACTACAGACTCCAAACCATTCCGCAACTCTAATTCAACCCGTAATCAATTTTTCGCAACACTAACAAGAAAAATCGCGATTTGCCCAAAATGATGATGAATGATGATGAAAAAAAAAAAAAATACAACCAAAAGAGCATAGTGAGAAAGTAATAACGAGAATGAGCTCTGGAATCATTCAAATAATCCAGAGGATGAAAAGCCATTTGTTGTGACCCTCTTCGTGGCAGTTTGCTGAGTCTCTTCGGCTTTTAGCCTCTTTTTCCTTCGAACGCAATGCCTGCTGAAACTTACATCTGGCTCGAGTCCTTTTAACTGCAAACTAAAAAATTAAGGTCAAATAATAATATAAATCGCGAAAGTTGATCAATACACATGAACGACTAAAAATCATTGTAATCGTTATCTGTTCGCACGTGCGTGCTCGAGCAACACATATAAACGTTCGTTTCGGGGCCTACTCGCGACATATCCGCGATCACGATACTAAATTCGAAAAATCGAAGAGTAAAGTTAGAAACGAGTGGTATGCCATTTGTACCAATTTCACTGTCGATTTTTCAAATTAGATTTCCTGAAACAGGACACGCGAAAAGGAAACCCGTGACTAGAGACTGTGCCAACCTGCCTGACTCTAAATACTTATAATTAAATACAGGCATACCAGAAAGTAAGCTACCTATCCTAACCAATCGCCCTATATTTAAAAAAATGGCAAAACAGGTCGTTTTAACAAACATTCACTGGTCGTGAAGATCCTCGTCAAGCAAATATCAACCCATGGTGAAAATGAACGCTATGAAAAATTTCTAAAGGCCTAAAGACATAGTGTTATTTATGAAAATTTAAATTTTCATAATAATAAAAATTGGGATTCTGATAATTTGAAATTTTTTTATTTCACAGTTGTAATTTTAAATTTATATTTAACATCAATGAAAAGTGAACTATAGAGAATTAATTCAAGTACAATGTGTTGAACTACTTACATTCTTTGTTTCTGAAGCATCATAAGATTCTTAGAGGATACCGTCAAATATTATACTTTGTTGTTAAACGTCAAATATTATACTTTGCTGTTAAATTTGAAAAATTGATTAAATTAAAGTATAACATATAAAACTACTTACGATCTTGAGGAGAGGCCAGAAGGGGCCTTATCCTTTTGAGTACTGACTTTAATATACCGAAAAAGAATGTTGAATAAGAAAAGATACAAAAAAAGAAAAATAAAAGACTATCAACACAATTACGTCACTGACTCTAATTTCGCGAATTATAATTTGAATGAATTAATCGACCGCATTACACGCGGTCACAAAAATTTTCTGAAAAATTGAAATAAAACTGATTAATAAGGAGAGCACGGAGGAAACACTTTATTTAGGAAATGCTGCAATTTTTCTAGAAAATAATTATGAATATGTATTAAAGATCTATGTTAAAGAACATGAATATGTATTAAAGACATTAGTTGTAAATTATAAAGTATTTCTCAATACTGAATACTGTAAATGAAAGACAATGATTGTATTCTCAAATTGTATTCTGAATGTTCCTTACCAGGAATAGAAACTATGCACATTAGTAATATACCTTGTCACGTGTTATAAATATACGAAAATATTTGCACAAATTAAAATTTCACAGCTAAATATATTTAAGAATGACAATATCACGAAAAATGCGTGTGAAATCTTGCTTGATTCGTTTCAATTGCGTGTCAACGTTTGAAAAAAGCAAGTACAGTATAGTAAAATACATATAATATAGTAAAGCACAAAAACTTTCAATTTGATACAAGAATATACATCAATTTGAAAGTATATCTATACCGTTAATCTGATCTATAATAATAAAATAAATAATGTGTATACCGTTAAGCTATAAGTAAAATTGTAATAAAAAATAATAATAAAATCTATAAATAAAATTCCAAATAAAATATTAATTAATTTAATCTTTTCTATTTTTATCTTTGTGTTCCAAACAATTACAAAATTACGTATTGTGAATAGTAACTCAAAAATATGTATGAATTGTATACCAAATATCACCTAAAATGAATAAAATATTGCCAAATTTCCGTGAAAGTTCATCAAATTGTCCATTAATGATCTGACGGCATTTATGTGTTCTGTGCTATTTTTACAATTAAGGAATAACCTGTACAAAGAGAAATGAATAGTCAGAACAAATCAAATAAAGACAAATACGAGCACCTTCCAAGTACTACACTACTTAGTTATCGCAATGTTTAATAAATAGTTAAACACACGCGTATTAATTAAATGATACTATTAATGAGATATAAATGAAAGTAGAAAAATGTCGAAAAAGCAACGCCATCGAAAAATTTTATTATATTACGCAGTAAAATTATTATTTTAACTATTAAATATTATTTTATAATATTTAATAATTATTATTTTAATTATGGAATACATTCTTAACAAATTATTGTTGAACTTGGTATTAGAACTATTAAAAATTACGCAGTATGAAGTTAAAAAAACAACAAATAAGTAGAAAATGTTATAATAGAAGTGTAAAAGCATATAATAAAATTCGTGTGTGTGTGTGTGTGTGTGTGTACTCACACACACAAATTATATATATATATATATGTATATAATTATATATATATATATATATATATATATATATATATATATATATATATATATATATATATATATATGTATATAATAAAAAGTCAGTCAAATAACAAGATTATAATATTTGTACTGGTTAGAATTGAAATTAAGTTTTGGTATAAAATTATAAATAATTTTTAGCATGGTATCTTCTGTTTAAATGTTTATATGCTATTATTTCTTTAACTGTTGAAAATTATGTGTAATAATTATTGGGTCAAAATTTACCTTGAGATGAAGAGAATGCATATTTTATCTTAAAAATTTACAATATAGGCACAAATTTAACAACTATTGATTTAAATTTTTATTTCAGAACTTGTGGATGACACTTCTTTCTGGATAACACTTCCTCCTTTACAAGTGAGATGTGCTCATTTCCGCCATGCTTCCCGCTTAAAAGTCGATCGTGAGAAATATCGATTACGTTCGAGAATCGTAGGAAGTGTATTGTACATTTCACCGTGTAGTGGCGCTGTAATCTTTAATTATTTTAAATCCAATATGTACGGGTTTCGTGTGAAATGATCACTTGGAATAAAAAATAAAAAACTCTGGTCTAAATCAAATACATAAAATTCATGAGAAATTCTTAAAAAAGAAATATAGTATAGAAATATTTATTTGATACGTCCAATCCTCTGCATAAAATAAAATAAAAATTATTAACAGCTATTAATTATTTACAATTATTACAATAATTTGTATTTATTATGTATATATATCGATTATAACATCGATTACATTCACCAAAAACTTTAATCGCAAAAAGCACAAATAAAAATTTTTATAAAATAATTAGTACCATAAACGTACAGATGGCGTCAGCGTGTCTAAAACATGACGGTTTGCACAAATTGCAAAATAACCCTAATTGAAAAGAAAAACTTGTCAAGTTTTGAAATTGTGTCGTACGTTTAAAACTCTTAGTTTTCGTTGTATATTTTATTTACGATTCAAAATGTATTAATAAGTATTTTCAAATTTCGTCATTACTAAATAGTGTAGCACAGGCGAAAAGTACTAAAAGTATTAAAGAGTACTTTTGCGAATATTTTTTGTTTCTTTGTGTTTCTTTGTGCCTTATTAGAAGCAAAATTTGCTTCTAGTGTTGTCCTTTTTTGAATGTTTCTGATTACATGGGTGCTTAACTTTAACGTACTTAACCTTAAATCGTGGATTTCCCCTTTCAGAATGTTTCTTCCAAGGTTTCATACGCTCAAACTGCTCAACAATCACAATTCCATATACAAGAACAAGCAATCATATTAAACTCCATCAAAAGTGTTTTAATTCAAGAATTCATTGTTGAAGTTAGCAAACTGACTTGTCGAACGCCAGATTTACAACCAGAATTTTCCAAAGCTATGTTTGCTTATACTGGGATAGTAAGCACAAGGCTGACAGGATACGCAAGTAAAGATCAAATCTAACTCCCTGAAAATTCAATCATTTATTTTTAAATTCAAACGATTAATATTATCCAACGTATGTCATATAATTCTGCACTCACAGTCATTCTTAAAGAATTTGCTAGATGAAATATTAGACCCATCTCCCAGATCATCTTCATTGATGCAGGCTTCAATGATTCAGGATACACAAACATCTTGAGTTTTTGTTGTCAGATATATCCAATCCAAAGATATTCCAAACATACCTAAATCTATCAAAATAAATTATGATAATACATCTTATTGGATATATATATCAGCAGAAAAAGTAGCCTGCTTCTTATGCAGAGAAACAGAGTCATGCTACTAAATTCTGCAAAGACTTTGAGTCCCAGCCACTGCTTTTACATAGCTTTAGTTCATGTTACAATGAAATAGTTAATGATCTGAACAGCCAAAATCTTTTTGTGTCTTATCCCCATTCCAGATTTCTACTACATTGTTATCCTAGATATATAAACTGGAAGCTTGTCTTCAAAATGCATCAAGAGCCAGCTTAATGATTCCAGTTCTCCAACTCTTAGTAATTTGAATGCTATCAAACATGATAGTAGACGTAAAGCAGTTGTTCACACCAAAGAAATTAAGAAATGCAAAATGGCTAATAGAGCAGAGATTTTGCTAGAAGAAATCTCTTTGCTACTGCTGCCTGCCAAGGGCTACATCTGGGATTCCACTTAAAACCATCCAGTGAACTTTAAAGTTGTCTACAGTTCCTACTGTACACATACAATAATCGTGGAAGCGGTGTTAAACCACACCATCTCTAATAAAGATGTTTTCTTCTTCTTTACAGAGTGTAAGATAAAAATCCGCAAGAATTGTCAAATGCCTCAACAATTCCTATCCAAAAGATGCTGTGAGTAAGGAATTCTCTCTTTTAAAAGAAGACTCCAATTAGATTAAAATTATTTATGAAAATAACTACTACATCGTTGCGGTTTTGTTTTTCTTCTGGAATTCAAGAAGTTTTTGTTCTAAGCCTGAAAATTCAGTCCATCTTAATTAATTATTATATGACATCCTCATCTTTGAAACGTGATTGACTTACAAGGACAACTTTAACTTTCCAGGATTCATAGAGTTCAGGAAAAATGGAACCCATTCAAAGGTGGTGGAATTTCTTATCCATGACAACGTGGTTTTTAGGCAAGTTATTAACATCAAATTTCCTGACATCTCAGTTGAGTTATGTGGTCTTTGTTTAAGTAATGTAAAGCCAGAACTGCATATACTTGTCTGCTATAAGCTCCAGGCCTCACTCTCACACAAGATCAGTGGGATCTAATTGTTCAAAATATTGACATTAAACGCAACTGAGCAGACTTTAATGCTCATCATCCTAATTGGAATTGTAAATATACAAATAGCAATCGTAGAAGATTTCATAATACCTTGGTAACCGCTGATCTAATACACAATGATAACTCTTACACATATATTAACAAAAATTTTAAATTCAATGTGGATCTCTTATTCTCTACTTTGAATATTTTTCACAAAATTGATACTGTTGTTTTATGATGAGACCTAGGGTTCTGATCACTTTCCTATTTGTTTTAATATAAGGTAGATAATAATTATTACGACAAAATGTCTATTAAGTTTAAATCGAATTGTACTGACTGGCCAAAATTTTTCCATATCCTAGAGAATCATTATATAGATTTACTAATTCTTCACTAATGATTAAGTTCTGCCTCTCAATCGCAAATACAAATTTTTCAATAACTTTTAGCTACTGAACGCTACTATAGAGGCTTTCGGGTATGTTACCTTTTTGAACGTCACTATAGTGGTTTTCATGGATGTCATATTTCTAAACCGAAGAGACTGAAAACCGAAATATTTTCAGCTTTAGGTATTATATCAGTATTGGCTTTTATATTATCGTAATAATATACCGGTTTTAATACTGGTATATACCGATATGGTATCGCTTTACTGACGAAAACACATTTTTCATTTTCTACGTACAGTAACTCTTATTAATATTCGAACATCAAGCTATTCAAAATATTGTTGTGGACTTCGATTGTTTATAATAGTAAGTTTGGATTGATTTTTTAATAATATATTAGAACATTCATTATAGTTTATAGTAACATAAATTTTATTTATTTATTGCACATACTTTTCTTAATATCAAACAATAAATTGACTTATGTCGAAATATAGTGTGGCATAAATATTCGGACATTTGAAGAACTATAATATTTAAATCTGAAAATTATTAACATAAACAATAATTAATATTTTGTTGGGTAGCTTTTAACTTCAATTATCGCAGACGTCTAGGCATATTTTCAGTAATTATTCCAGAATATTCTTCCGTGCTTCGATTAATCGTTCTTTTAACTCGTCTTTCGATTTATTGACGTATGACAATTAGTTATTTTTCACCGAGAAAAAGGAAAAACGTATCGAGAAATCGGTCATCTTTCAAAATTAAGTAAAAGAGTACCGTGGCTGATATTGTACGGAGATACAATGATGAAGATCGAATTGAATCAATTCCTCAGAAAGGTCGGCCACGTAAACTTAACGACCAAGACAAACGCATTATTCTAAGAAAAATAAAAGTGAATCTTAGTTTAAGTCCTCCTAAGTTAATTTCAGAAGTATATTTATTAATGCGAAATACATTGGATAATATTGGGAGACAGTTAGATATGTCCTTGAACTTTTTCCAACTCGATCATCTCGAAATCATCGGGCTACTCAAAATCGTTGGGCTACCCATCCGAGCCCGCCCGACTTTGTGTGATCCCGAACCGAACCTAAAATTTCGGGTACCCGCACACCCCTAATAATCGTGCGTTGCCTTTCTCAGTGTTCAGCATTGCGGCACACAGATAAAACTTCTGCAGAGGGGAAGTATTCTGTGTTAACATGTCCTTATGCGTCTTTTTCATTTGAATTTTGCATTGTTCCTTAATTTTTCTTTTTATTAAGATAAATTTAAGATAGTATAGAGCTATCCATTCTGAATTAAATTTTTCAAAGTGATAGTATCATTTGCTCACTACCTCTTCTTTTGCTTCTCTTCACGTTATACAAAAATTTTTTATGTAATTTAATCAGGTGCTCAATTTCTTATATTTTTAAATTTCTTATATTTTTTTACATTCCTTATATTTCAAGTACATAAAGTCGATAAAAATATTTTAAGTATATAGGACACCATACAGTCAAGTTTATTTTCACCTATAAGAGAGAGTAAAGTTTTCCTTCTGAATGTGAAATACATAAATATATCAGTTCTTAACTTTTATGTGTATTTATTTAGGAATCAAAAACTGAATGAAACTTTGTGCTAAACTTTTTTTTGTATATAAATAGGTATTTATTGCACTGGATTTGAAACGAGCATAAACGTTACGAGCGTAGAGTTGAGTGAACGGAAAGATATACTTATTTGTCGAACGGAATATAAAAAATTTTATGTATTATTTATGACCGTGTCGAAAAAAGTTCATGCCTTTCAAACGTCATTTTGAAGATAAACATTCAAATTTTAACAAGAAATAATTCTGACGAATTAAAAACACAAAAAAGTGCTTCTTTGTTTCAGTCGTTTGCAACTTCACAAAATACATTTCAATCATTTTCTGAATCGTCCAAAAAGTGGTGCTAAAATTAGTTTCGGCTTTTGCTAATTGCAATATTATTCGGTCTTTTCCAGGTGGTAATTTTGTGAAAACGTGTGAAAATGATTGTGTCTAAAAAATTTTCTTAAAGAATTGCATTATAATGTTTCAAGTGGTAAGTCTAAGTCATATGTCCATTACAAAGGCAAATTGTCAATATTTGGAATCCTGAGGAGACAAAAGTTTCTGAAATCTGTAATAAATTTGTTTATTATTGTTTCGTCATTGGCGAATCATCAGATATTGTGATATCTACCGTTATAATACAATATCTCCTTCGAGAATAATATTAATGTTGTAACTCAAACATAAATTGTTTAGTATTTCTCGCTTTAGCAAAACTATACAAAAATTAGGGAACACTTCCAACAATCAGTGCTCTAAAAACGATGAAACATTAGATATTGACAATATTATTATGCAACAGTATCTCAAGAAATGGCACAATGATTTCGGTGTTAGGAATGCATCATACCGCCATAAAGCTTTTATTCTTAGATTTAGATTAGGTTCAAATTAGGTTCCAAGTAATTCCAAGCTTTTCTTCTGCAATCAATTCGCTGAATACGCAAAAAACGTTTTAACGTCAACAGAAAATTGTCAATGCTTTTCCTCATAATATTTATCATTTTTAATAATCATTGTTTCTATATGTATGTACAACCATCGATGGCGAATAAACTTCCTGTCGATACGAAGATTTACGATACTTGGACGATTTGCTAGGATCAGTAGTCAATTGAATTACGCCGATCACGATAAAAATCCGAAACGTAGCTACGAACATAGATTCCAATTGTTACTCCAAGTGGATGGATGTAATTCTTGGAAGAGACATTAAGCAATAAGGCCACATCGCCGACGCTGAAGCGATGAAAGCGGCATTGTTTCAACGATATTAGAAATTCGGAAGAATCACTCCTTCAATAGATGAATAGATTAAACGGAACGAGTTATAAGTTACACGTGGAAACACAGCGGAAAAGTCATGCAAATTGTCTCGTCGCGCTAATAGGATTCCACGATTGTCTATTGTCATCGCTACACGAGTTTGGAGAAACAAACGACGGTAAGAAAAATTGAATGTTTGACAGACGAACCAATCGCGTACCATCCTTACAGTCTCATGGAATCGGAGAGAAAAGTAATTTTTATTAAACCACGTCAGAGTGTTGTCAGATTATTCGATTCACCGTATGCAAGTGTGGTTATGCTTGCAGAGAAAAACATCGTGCTGCACGTACGTCGTCTACAAGTTAAACGCAATAACAACAAAGCTGTTGAATTTGAAAAATTTGCACATGATTCTGCAATTCTGATCGCAGAATTGTAAATATGCTGAGTTATCGATGATTTACATTATGAACATAAATTATACGAAATCGGTTCCTTTTTTTTTAGTATACATTACTTATGTTCCATGACTTTTCGATTAAAATTATTTATATAATTAACACACGTCCGGCATAGTGACTTTCAGACGTTTCACAAACATATGGTACGTGATTTGGTATGTAATTTTAAGGACTAGAGTTGATTCATTTATAACTTTTTAAAATCTTTTACTAATAAACGAAATATGCATCTGACGTGAAGCATTTTACATCTAACCGTTTTTTATCTAAATGTTGATATTTTTAATTTCGTAACTGTGCTGTAATCAGTACAATGTATTAATTCAATTTTATTTTCTATTAAACAATCTGTAACATATGATAACATATATACACAGCAAATGATTTGCGTCATATCTTGAATTACTCATTGATATTGTCTTTATGCTGTTGAATCTATCTCTGTCCCTATTTCTCGTTCTTTTCCTCATGATTTACATTAAATGTAACTTTACAGTTACTATTTCGCTCATTTTCCGTTGTTACAGCGTAAATTTAATTTTTATTAATACCAAACTCTTAGAAAATAATTTCAGTTTTGCTTTTCAGAATATTGCATCACAACTGTATATAGAAATTTAGTTATTTCTAATTAATTAGAGATTTGTGGTTACCATTTCTAAAGAAATTATTTATCCTTTGACCTTTAATTTTTTAATTTTACTTTTCATGTACAGGTGCTTCTTAGTAACATAATTTATTATATTTGTCAATGCGGTTGAAAATATGAGTAATTCTTTACATAGATATTTAATAGAAACTTGAATTGCGTGAAAATCGAGTATGTAGTGAAGAAGACGAGTGAAAATCACAAATCCAGTGCAATTAGAATTTCTTCCTTCGCATGATTTTTGCTCATTGTCTGTGTTTTTCCTTTCTACTGTATGATTTTAAATGCTTTCTCATCGTACGACTATTTGAATTTGAATAGTAACATATTACTTTTAAAATAGCACATTCATTATCGATACTAAAAAATTTATGAATAAATACATATCTCTTATACGCCGTATGTAAAGTAACAATAAAAAGAGACATATATGCAGTAGTATCACGATATACGCATGTAGTTTCATACAATGATGTCAACGAAATAATAATGTAGCGAGATCAATGAATATGAAAATATGGCAATGTTAATACAGTAGTGGATGAGCAACAATACGTATTCTATGATGGATGTAAACTTCTAGTTAAATTATTATGCAGCCTTATTTTTCTCAAGAGCAAAAAAAAAGCTAAATTACAGCCTGTGGAGGGTGAATTGCCCGTGAATCTGCCAAATTTAGGTCTTTCTCATGTTGATAGAAAAAGTGAACATAATATTCGTCGCCGCTATAACTTTTACGCAGCCGTTGGATGTTGCTGTTAATACAAATACGAAAGGTATCAGTCGAGTCTCTGACCTGTGCAAGGAACTGAAGCATGTAATCAGTTTCATTCACGTTAGCACAGCCTATAGTAATGCCTACTTATCTGAAGTCGAAGAAAAAGTTTACACGTAAGATTAAATTACATAAAAGCTTTTCTTCAAATACTTCATTATGGCATAAAAATATGTAGCTTATAATTAGTACGGAAGACAGTGCGACAAGTAAGTTTATTTCTTCTTAATAATCTGACAGCACAAGTTGGGAACCTTCGGCGGTAATCGACATTTGCGATAAACAACATAAAAACTCAATCGCACTATTAGAAGAATCAATTTTGAAGATTCATCCAAACACATGTACATTCACAAAAAATCTAGCAGAGCAGATAGTGTTCAGTGATTGTAAAAGTTTCTCAACTGCAATTGTAGAACGACCAAGTATAATTGGTGCTTCTTTGCCAGAACAACCATGTCCTGGTTGGTAATGTCTATGGAGTTACAGGCATTCCTACAAGAAATTTTTAATATATTCTAATATTAATAAATTTTAATATACTCTAATATTAATAAATTTTATTTTATCTATTTTAGTATCTAAAATATCTACTTTATCGTAAAAATCATTCAAACCTCTTCATTTCTTTAATTATATTTCAAACTGTTGCGAAAACAATTCGGAAAACACAGTTCGGAAAAGCAGCTTGAAACAACGTCATTTAAAGAAATACTTAATATCTTTGCACCCAGCGTTTCTTTTTACTATTCATTACACCTTGGACTCTCGCAACATACTGTTCGTTCTCCTTCCTGTCGGGCTTCTGTTCCCCTCCTCTTTTACTAGCTACCAATATACATACAACACATAGAGCACACATACCAACCTTGGTTGCTACGTTCGTCGACATTCATAACGTATCAACCTTTTCCTTTCTTTCACGTGGAGGAAATCTTTGAGAGACATCCGACGATCCTGAGGGAGTTGTCGGGTAGTGCCAGATTTCTACCGACTAAAACCTCAACGATGGCTATCTGCCTGCCCGTGGAGGGTAACTCTGGAACCGGTAATTACTCTGGTGTCACTCAGGCAGTAGCCTCTACGACTTCTTCTCGGGACAGGTGTTGTTGTTCACTTCTTCATGTGTATGGGTGATGGTACCAGGGCCATGTTGGTACCGCCACTACTTGGGGGCTTCGAGGGCCATCATCCTATTTTGTAGATTGTTTGATTTTTGTCGTTCCTCGCGTTTTCCCCCGTAGCGCTATCTAGCCCTATGAGGTGTTGTTTCTCTGGTTGCCGTTTCTTCTGGTTTTGTTCATCCGTCTGATCAGGGTAAGGTTTTAACTCGTAGCTTACCTAGAACGATGCGATAAGGTCGTCCACACGGGTCCTGGTCTAGAATGTTAATAAGTTCTCCAATCCCGAATCATCTTCTGCAGTTTGATAACCTATATAATTTGTACAGTGTGTCCTCATTTAGAGTGTCCCGTATTTTCCTCCTTCTGGCGCGTTGGAAGCGGCAACGCGCTCTAATGCTGACCGCTTTATCCTTATATCCTCCGATCACCAGTTTGTCGAGAGTCTCAAGCTCGGTTTGGATCGAGGGATGGCAGTGTTTCAAATGTCATACAGTGCCTTTTGGAACCATTTCACCTCACCTTGGACGTCCGTGTCTGTGCCAAAAAATGGGGTAGACCATACCGCTGCTCGTGATGCTGCCACTAGGATGTCTTTATGTTTCTTTGTAGTTCATCTTGAAGTTGGTAGCTGTTTCCTTCCTTCTTCAGAAGCCGAGCGAAGAGGGTGCTGGTGATAGCTTGGGATTCCTATCTGTCTGTCTGCTTTAATGCTTATGCGGATGTAGATGGTCGCTGAGGAACTCCGCTTCCATTCAGTGATTTGGTTAACAATGGCCAGGGATGCCCATGACAGATTTTCGATAGATTCGCCTTTCCAGCGACTGCAGATTTTCTGACCTCCTGAATCAGGAGGCGTACATCGCCGCCAACCCTGAGTCCTCGGGGTGCGCGGAGACGGCGACTGCCACCCGGAGCAAACCGACGAGGAGGACAACGAGGGCGGCGTCTGCGCGACCCCCGCAGTGCGAGGAAGAAATCAGCGACGACCGATCACCAACCCAGGCGGATCCCCCCGCCCAAATGAACCAGAAAGGAACCAGCCAGGACGGGGGCCAGTAGCAAAAACACTAGCACCGGCGGTGCAACCATCACCAGCGGGAGGGTCACGAAGGCCACGACGCTTCGGCAGCGCGCGTCCTCGTGCCCTCCGACACCGCCAGCACCGCCGGAGAGAAAAAGCGCCTCCCCCCGCGGTACCGCCACAGCGGCCGCAAAAACACGGACATCGGGGGGAAGGGCGCCCACTCCGCCTGGGCCGCCCAAGATACCACCGCCAACCTCCATGACACCGTTGGGCAACAGAGTCGTCGCACTGCGTGCGGGTCGCGCAGCGCCGGCGAAGAGGACGGCTAACACGACGACGTCTGCAACGACTGCTGCTACAAAAAAGAGGAGCGTCAGAATCCTGAGCGCCCCCCCCCCCAACAGCAACACCAGGGTCACCCCGCTGTTGAGGAAATCACCCCCGGGGGCAAGAAGACAAACCTCGGGCCCACCCAACAAGTCGCCCCGGGGGCACACGCACAGTCCGCCCGAGGACCTCTCCGGCGTAGCGGCGCCACCCCCCCGGGTCCCTCGGGCCGAGCAACCCCACCGAGCTTCCTGACGAGACATCCGCCGACGACACCAACACCAGCGACCACGACGAGGTCGCAGCCGTCGCCGAGTCCAGCCCGGAGCTGGCCAACCCCACCCGCGGCGTCGCCCCTGACGACGTTCGCGGAAGTCGTCCGGGGCCCGGTCTCCCCCCCCCCCCGCCCCAACCAA